AAGACGGTCAATGAAAAAAAGAATGTGGACCAGGGCAATACTTTGAGTTTACAGCTTGTCCAAGGTCATTCATTATTAATACTATTAGTAATATCTTCGTTAAAGACTTTGATGGCGACAGCTCAAACATGAGAGGTTGAGCTTTATTAGCTCCACCTTGTGGAAATTCCAGATACTATTATTTTACTTGTGGTATTATAGGATAATTTACGGTAACTCACGGTAGACTGCGTAAAGCGCACCGCAAAATAATGTGGTATCGCCTGCTTGTTTTGAATGGCTGCATCTGTAGCTGTACATGAGTTGGAACTTATAAGGAACATTTTTCCTATGACTAAAGGTGATGACAAAAATGCTAAATAATACACACAAATAAATTGAACATTTATAATTATATTCTTTGAAAATATTTGTCCAACTTCCACACAAATGGCAAATATATGTTCATAAAAGGAGGGTTACTTTAATTAAATATGAGTACATTAATCTTTGAAAAATCAAATTGAGTTTGAAATGATTTTTATGTCTGACCCTGACACTGAGTCCAGTTAAACACCCAGGAGAAGAGTGAAAGGTGTCAAGTCGGCCTTCAGTCACCCTCTGAGACACATATATCCTTCCACATCACAGCTTGTCCAGCACACATCTCCTCCATGATGACCGACCACCATCTCCCACTCAGCCTCTCCAAGACTGAGCTAATCCACATCCTCGCCAAGCCTTCACTTCAGAGTCGGCTTTCTGTAACCCTGGGGACACCCACCTCGTTCACCAGTGTAAACCCCACCAAGACAGACAAGAGCCCTGGTGTCGTCATTGGCAACAAAGTCACTTTCCTCTTAAAAATATATAAAACTAAGTACATGAAATGAGTATCCTGCTACTGGACATGACAGGGGACATGAGGACAGTTCTTTGGTCCTCCATTGCAGCACCTTTAGAATGTTGGAGCTGCTCAGGAAATAAATAGTTAAATTTCAACAACAAGTAAATAAGGGAAGGCCTGTTTGGCATTGGTGCCCAGTAGTGCTGAGGCCCAGGGTTCAATTCAGAAGCTGGGGTCCTGCCTGGAGTTTGTATTGTAGTATTTTCGGGTTCTGTGAGGACGGACACAGTGATTCAGACACTTGTTGACTGAAAAGCGGCGCTTTTATTTTTCGCACAGCCAGCACAACACCCTCACCCACACGCTAGCAGAGAGAGA